ACCCCAGAGAAAACCATAAAACAAAACAAAACCACTCAAAAACAAAACAATGATAACAGTAGCAACTCAAATTCAATCATTGCCTTTAAGTGGAACAGACTCCCAGCTGACCCTCCACTGAGTTTCTTAGGCTCTAAATAACAAGGGAAGAGATTGTAAGGCTTCTAACGCTAAATGAAAACCAAACACATCTATTCAAAGAACTTTCACACTGGGAAAACAGTTTATCTACATTTTCCAATTACCATGTAGCATTAATAATGTTTATGACCTAAGGAGGGATGTTGAAATGGTGAATGTTTAGTCTGTCATGACTTCAACTAGGTTAATTTCTGTCAATCCATAAATTGAAATGCATAGCTAATACACACTGGAAAAATTACATCTAAAGAAATATTTTCTTTTATTGGCACCATTTTCATAACCATGATTCTAACCCATTCTCCAAACAGAATTTTTAACATCTTAATGGATTATTTGTGTATTTTACTCTGTGTCAAAACAACAGATGGAAAGAAACTCACTGGAGAGTTAACTATGAGTCGATTCTGAAACGATGACAAATGAGGTGTTTTATTTTTTTCAATAGCATGAGTATAGTAATTGGGCTGGAAATAGTTTTGCAAGATCTGTGTGTATCTTCTACCTGTCACTGCAGTCTCACTAATCAAAACTCAATTTTATTGCTGTCAGTCAGAAACTGGGCCTCTAGTGGAGTTTAGAGGCTGTATATTGCGTAGGAGGAGATTGCCCACCTTTCTTCCCACAGAGCGGCTGGTGGATTCAAACCACTGAGAGGCGCGGCCTTTGGGTTAGCTGTGCAGTTTTCCAGGGACCAACCCCACCAGGGCACCTTAGTCTCCGTAAGAGGGTGTGGAATATGCAATTGTAATGCTAAAGAGAGAAGTATTTGGGCTGGCCACTTTGCTCTTCTATTCTACCAAATATATTCTGACTTTTCAGTCTCCCAAATGCCCTAATAACATTATATGACACTTCACATTATTTATTCATTTTAATCTTTTTAATATGTGAACAAAGGCTAGCATTGAACCTTTAAAGAATGCATGCTTATGTATTAACTTGAAACTTTACAACAAAGCCTTTCCACATTTCCATTTAATCCCTCAACAGATATTTCTTAACATCCACCTGCATTATTTTATAAATATCTTTCATATATGTGAAAGACAACTGTGTCCACCCCAAGTTCCTAAACCCACATAAACAAATTTTTATTGTAGGACCATTCATATTATTATAAACTCTAGTGGCCTAGTGTTAAGAAGCTGCACTGTAATTCCATAGGTATGTGGTTCCAATCCACCAACTGCTTTGAGCGAGAAGGAGGGGAAATCTCCCATGTGCCTTA